GGCAAAGAAGAGTCATAAAACCACCTCAGAGACTTGGATATGCAGACCTTGTAGCTTATGCCTTAATCTCTGCAAGTGAAGTTCTAGACGAAGAACCTAGAGATTATAAGGAAGCTATAAGGAGTCGAATGAAGACTGAATGGCTAAAGGCCATGCATGATGAGATGAAATCTCTTCATAATAATCACACTTGGGAACTAATCGAGAAACCTGTTGGGGCAAGGTTAGTCAGCTGTAAGTGGATTTTCAAAGTTAAGGAAGGAATTGAAGGAGTAATGTCGAAGAGGTACAAGGCAAGATTAGTCGCAAGGGGTTTCACTCAGAAAGAAGGTGTCGACTTCAATGATGTATTTTCCCCTGTTGTGAAGCACAGATCCATTCGAATGTTGCTTGCCATGGTGGCTCAGTTCGACCTTGAACTGGAACAAATGGATGTGAAGACTGCGTTCTTGTATGGTGACTTAGACGAAACAATCCTGATGAGGCAACCTGAAGGGTATGTCGAAAAGGGGAAAGAAGATTATGTGTGCAAACTGAAGAAATCTTTATATGGACTTAAACAATCTCCTCGACAGTGGAATAAGAGATTCGACAAGTTCATGGAACACATAGGTTTCATTAGAAGTCAGTTCGACCATTGTGTTTACTCCAGATTTCGACCTGAAAATTCATTTGTAATTTTGTTGCTTTATGTTGATGATATTCTGATAGCAAGCAACAATGTCGAAGATGTAATGAGGGTGAAGGCTGAACTCAATAAGGAGTTCGACATGAAGGATCTGGGAGCTGCATCTAGGATTCTTGGAATTGACATTCGAAGAGATAGAAAGCAGTCGAAATTATGCTTATCTCAAGAGGCATACCTACGAAAGATTCTTGACAAGTTTGGTATGTCGAATTCAAAGCCTGTTGTGACTCCAACAAACCCTCAATTCAAGCTGAGCATTGATCAATGTCCCAGTACTGATGTCGAAAGAACCTATATGAATAGCATCCCATATGCTAATATAGTTGGTTCTTTGATGTATGCTATGGTCTGTACTAGACCCGATATAGCATATGCAGTAAGTCTTGTAAGCAGGTACATGGCGAATCCTGGAAAGGCTCACTGGCAAGCGTTAAAGTGGATTTTAAGGTACATAAATGGGTCTCTGAACAGAGTCTTAATTTATGGTGGAGCCTTGGGTGAAGATAGTAAAACAGCAGTCGAAGGCTATGTTGACTCTGATTATGCAGGATGTATGGATTCCAGGAAATCTATTTCTGGATATGTTTTCACTATGTTTGGTACAGCAATTAGTTGGAAAGCAACTCTTCAGAAGGTTGTTGCCTTATCAACTACTGAAGCAGAATATATTGCCTTAACTGAAGCTGTGAAAGAAGCATTGTGGCTTGAAGGTTTTGCGAAGGAGCTAAAACTTCAAGGTCAAGGTATCACTGTTAAATGTGATAGTCAAAGTGCAATACACCTGTCGAAGAACTCAGCCTATCATGAGCGAACCAAGCACATAGATGTGAGGCTGCATTTCGTCAGAGGGGTAATCGAGCGTGGAGAAGTCCAAGTGCTGAAGGTCTCGACAGATCACAATGCTGCTGATATGATCACCAAAACATTGCCAAGCTGCAAGTTTTTCCACTGTATGCAGTTGATAAAGCTGCATGAAGAAAGCTAGTTAGTGTCTCTTGATGCTGTAGAGTTAGGTCCAAGGTGGAGATTTGTGGGATTTTGGATCGAACTCTAGTTGGTCGAAGTACTTGCTGTAGTCGAAGAAGGTTCTAGCATGTATTTGTCGAAGGATGCTTGTCGAATTAGGTTTTAGTGTTTAAACCCTAATTTGTTAAGTTAGCTTGTTTGTTAAGTTAGCTTGTATAATGGGCCTTGTGGAAAAAGCCCATTAGTTAGTATGTTAGGTTTTATTATAAATAGCATACTAGTCTCTCATCATTGCCATCACAGCAAATCCTATTTTAGGGTGAGAGGGTTATTTGTTATTCTTGTAAACTTGTAATCTTGTTTTCTAAGAGAAAGTAAAGAATAGCAGTTATAACCAATTCTTGTGTTCTTCTTCTTCCTTGTTCTTTATTCTTCCCTTATTCTATACTTTGTTATTGGCATTGAATTCACAACAATTACAATGAAACGTAATTTACTTGGTAAAAAAGTCAAAGTGGATCTTTCAAGACTAAGTATATTACTTGTGCTTTTTGAAATTAAGTTATTTGTATGTATTCGTGATATAAATATATGAAAGTTATTCGTAGTGGCGAATACAACCCAACGACCATTCTTGTGGATACTATGTTATGAGATAAATGCCCCATATTGTCTCCTGAAGCATTGCACAAGGATGTATGAAGAATAAGGTATTAGCTTAACTAATATATATATATATATATATATATATATATATATATATATATATATATATATATATATATATATATATATATATATATATATATATATATATATATATATATATATATATATATATATCTTAGTTTATCATAATTTAAATTTTGTTCTAATTATAGAAAATGTACATGTGTATTCTTTCTGAATGAGAACAATGATAATTTGTACAATTGATTTTGAAAACAATAATAATTTGTTCTTCATTATTTACAAGAATTAAAATAATATGATATATTCTAATTCTATCACATATTTTTTAGCTTCTCTATAAAAAAATGATACATGTAAGTGAAAATAAGATTCAAAACAGACAAGTAGAAATGAGATTTAAAACAAAGTATATATGGCACTAAATAAGATTTAATCCCTCGGTTATTTTAAAAAACGAGGTAAAATAATAAATAATTACCTCAATTTTTAAATAAAATAGAGAGATTTGTGGCGCACGCTCAAAAATTTGGAAAATCAAATATATATTATTGTTAGGGATCAGACCAATGACCATTTGTTTTCTAACCTCAGTGTTGACAACTTATCATGTCACCCATTGTTACCTCGCCATTCAAACGGAGATAAAAGCGATTTTGCATGTGAGGTAAGATGTGTTATGAGTCAATCTCCAAAGTAGAAGAGATCTAGAAGAAGGAATATTGGAAGACTAAGGAAACTTACTCCACACGACATTGTAAGAAGGCTTATCAATGAAGAGAAATGATTGCTCGAGGCTAAGGCAACCATTATCAATACATGTCAATACTCGCTTGTCATCATAATCACTAAGAGGAATGTGACAACTGGAGATGGTCATGAGTAAGTCAAGATGAGAAACAGCAGATCATGAGGGATAGACCAATATCCATTATAAATGAAATTGGAGACAATAGCAGTGAGACTATGATGGTCAATTTCAGGAATGTTTAAAAAGCATATTCAAATTATTTAAAATGTGCTCCTCCTATTGGATCCTATTAGTGGTTACAACATTATTGATTTTAAGAGAAGATATGAGTTTTGTTTTCTTCTTCATTCTAGCATATCTATGAAAAATTCTTGAGTTCCAATTTATCCTGGATTTTTCTCTCCAAAAGGCTTTCTCTATCAAATAATGAATCATAAGGATAATATGAATGGTTTATTTGGTTGAATAAGATACATAGCATTTATACATGATATCATGTTTTATTCATTGATAAACTGCACACACATTTAATTAGCACTACTATTTGATATTTATATCTTGAATACCTAAAATTTTATTCATTAAGTTATTTTTATATATTTAAGTATAAGCTCTTATTAAGTAAGATTTCTTTTCCATGACAACAAATTAAGTTTTTTTTTTCTTCTGGATTATTGAGTGAGTTGTTAATTCATATAAGAGTTAAATATAATAATTTTCTTTTTTTAATTTTGTTAAAATTTTCTTGGAACTTTAATTCCTTCAAATTTTTTTATGATCAATTTTAATCCAAACTTAATAACCATCATGTTTCATTTTCTAGGCAATTTTTTCAAATAACATGTAATGAACAAAACCCTAATAACTTACCTGCAATGCTAGTATCTTTTTGATGTTGGTTGGCTTACTCTTTCTTGTGTTGGATCTATTTGGTATTGTTATTTGATATTGTTTGTAGTTTTCTTTTCACTCTTTCTTAGCTCAGGTAAGAAATGGATTGCATAAATATATTTTGAAATTAAAAAATTTCATTATTTAAATTATTTTCTCTTTTGCTTATCAATTATAGATAAGTTAATAAAGATTAAAAACTAAATAGTCATATTCTTAAACTTGTAATTAAGGTCTTATAAAGATATATCCACAAAAAAAGTTAGTTAGAACATGCAACATTAACTTTTTGGAAAAAATAAAAATAAAGATTAAAATTTATATTGAAAAATTTAAAGGGATAGGTTTGAATCTTAAAAAATAACTAAAATAAATTTGATATATTTAATCAAAATATACTAAATCCTTTCATGTATTCTATTCATATATTTTTTCCACGATATTTTATTCATGTGATGATATCTCCTATTTATTTTATTACCATCCTTTTCCTTTTTATTTATATTAGTCAAATTGATAATTAATATTTTTTGTAACTTGTCTTATATACCATGATTTGTCTCGTAAAATTCATTTTTCTACCAAAAAAAAATTTTATTTTTATTTTTAAAATTCAAATTAGTATTTGCTGTTTTTTTAACTGTTATTCATATAGACGAAAAAATATATAATAAATAATAGATTTTTAAAAAAAATTACTAATAAAACTCATCAATAATATAATTTTAAATAAATAAATAAATAGATACTTATAATATTATAAAATAAGACAAATGAATACAATAATTGTATCTATCTTCTTACAAAGATTATTATTTATAATAACTCTCGTTGACTAAGTTGTATTCATAATATTTAAACTTGATTGTAATTTTTTTTCTTCTTCTTACTTATATTTTTAGTATTAATTATAACATATGATTTTTTAACTAAATATTATTTAAAGTTGTAAAATTTTAATCTCTAACTTTTTAATTTATTTTGTTTAACAGTTGCAGAATGTTAACAAAAAACATGTTCACCACAAAGCCTTCTTGTGTTCCATCAACTGTGATTCGATCAGTGTGGTCCTCCGACCTTGAATCAGAGTTCAAGTTGATTAGTTCATTGGTTGATTCTTATCCAATTATTTCCATGGACACCGAGTTTCCCGGTGTTGTCGTTCTTCCTGACAGTACAGATTTGCCTTTTCATTCTCAAAGTTCAGACACTCACTACTCTTTCTTGAAGGCCAATGTGGATGACCTAAATATTATTCAAGTTGGACTCACTCTCTCCGACGCCAATGGTAACCTTCCAAACCTTGGAACTTCTAATTTTTTCATTTGGGAATTTAATTTCTCTGATTTTGATGTTGCACACGACATCCATAATCATGATTCTATAGAGCTTCTTCGAAGTCAAGGTATTGACTTCATGAAAAATAAGAAATTTGGTATTGATTCAATATGTTTTGCTGAGCTTATGATGTCATCTGGACTTGTTTGTAACGAGGACGTAAGTTGGGTTACGTTTCATAGTCCTTATGATTTCGGTTACCTTGTTAAGGCACTGACTCAACGTGCTTTGCCTCAAGACCTTGATGATTTTTTAGTTTTAGTTCGTGTTTATTTTGGTAATGCTATTTATGATGTCAAGCATATGGTGAAGTTCTGTGAAGGCATTTATGGTGGTTTGGATAGAGTTAGTAAGACTTTGAATTTGGATCGCTTTGCTGGGAAGAGTCATCAGGCTGGTTCTGATAGTTTGCTGACTCTTCATATTTTCCAAAAGATAAGAGACATTTATTTTGGTTGTGATGTTCATAAAATGGCCAAGTATAGTGGTGTGTTGTATGGCTTAGAAAAGTTGGTTTGATGGATAAATTTGTTGTAGATGGTTTTCATATTTATTTTCAAAGTTAAGTAAAATTTGTATACAGTTGGATTATTAATGAAACTAAATTTTATATTACTTATGGTATTAATGTTTTTGAGTTCCCATTAAGAAGTTCAAGTGCCTAGAAATTCAAATTTTAATTGAATGTTATATACTAAAATATGAGGAATAATTATTAATTGCTATTAGTTAGAATATGATTTTTATATGGAGTCATCATTGTCATGTTTTTTTATGTGGTTTTTTCTTGAAAGATATGGATTTGCATACTAAATAACAATCACATGGAAGAGACATATTTCATCCTTATTAAGGAAATTAAGTTTTCATTTTTGTAACTAGTACATAATTCTCTTGCTTGAATGGAAGTTATAGGAGGAAAAAATATTTACATCTTCTCTGAGTTAACACTATAGTTGAATGTACTGGTATAGTATTATACAAAATATTGTTTGGAATATAACTGACAAAATTAGAAGTTTACTAATATTTATCGTAAGTGACAAAATTAGTTATATTTATTATAACTCCCTTTCATTAATGATTAGGGTTTTTCTACTATCTATCATTCTCACTAAATCAAAATATTGTTAATACTTAAATTGACTTCAAGATTTGATCGGCCCTACTACAAAAAACACATATTATGTCAGAAGCAAAATGCGTTAATTGTTGATTTTGGATTCGAGATAAGTAAGGTCGTCATAAAATGTTATCCCTTATCACCTCGGGTATTAAAATACTGAGGGATTACGTTAAATACTCGTGACTTCGATTCTCATCCTCAAAATTTTTATTGTTTTCATAACTTGATGGCGTGCCCCTTATTAACACTCGATTTTCTGATAAACCGAGGTAATATATCAAAATTATTACTTCGATTAATTTTGGAAATCAAGGGGTTATATTATTTTTCTACTGTCGTCTACACCTGACTTACAAAATATAGAACCACATAAAACATAATACATAACCAATGCAAACCCAAAATGGTGCGTCTATTCCTCAATTTGAAAGAAAAATATTCATTGATTACATCATATGCAATATCCAAAATGGCACACACTTTATAATTTTACATCAAACCTAAAACAAATGATTACGAAACAAAAGCAATAAATCATTTACTTATTAGTTTTCCCATATGCCCTCTTCATGATCACGACGAATAGGATGCACATCATCTAACTCATTTTCTTCAAATGATTAACTTACATGTGTTGCTAAACAAGGAGTCTCATAGTTCAAATCTTGATTTTCATCAATACTATCAGGAAGATATTTTCCTTGAAGAGCAATTGACCATCTAGTGTAAGATGGATCAGTGACATAAAAAACTTATTTTGCTTGGTTTTCCATGATGGATGATTCGTTCTTGTAAGTTACCTTTCGAAGATCAACCATTGTGAATCCTAATTCAGCGGTTTCTACACCAATTTTACTATCAATCCACCTGCACTTAAATAAAGGCATTTTAAAATAAAACATAATTGTTATACCCCAAAATTTTCCCTCCCTTTTCTCCAAGACATTCTTTTAGGATTCTCAAATGCTCAAGGATGCTCAAGAATTGATCAGACAAATTCTCCTCATAAGCAATGGACTTACAACTAGGGTTTGGTATTTCATAAGTAAGGTTGGGTTTCAAAGGCCACAAGGGGATTTCATGGTCTCTTATATGCCTTAAAGAATTCTCGTACCAAGTTTCATGCCTTGCATCACAAGTTTGCTCAGTCAATGGCTTAAATGACTAAAACTCAACTGTATTGGATAAAAGTCAATTGTGGTCAACATACAGTCAAACCTCAAAAATTTTGGTCAACACCAAGGTTTTAAAGTCATATTCATCATTTGATCAAGGATTGATCATGATTCATCAGGAAAACCCTCAAACCATTAAAAGTCAAAAGTTGCCAAATTAGGGTTTCCTTAGGAGAAGTCAACTGAACTTTGACCAAGCACAACTTCCACATGATTCATCAGATATTCCCCAACCAAATCTTATTTTGAAATAAATTCAATTCTCTACAACTTTGAATCTTTAAGATCAAGTCTAAAAAATACTTCATTTGAGAGATATGAGCCAATACATTACAGGTCATTTCAAAAGTCAACAAAAAATCTTTTTGTCAAGACAACTTACATCAAGATAAACTCTCAAAATGAAAATATGATCAAAATAGAGATTGTAGGGTACGTCTTAAGCTTTCCAAAAAGTCAAAGATCATCTTCAAAAGATTAAAATTGAGAGAGTTATGACCAGTGCAAGTTGAGAATTTTGAGTAAATGCATAAAGTTCAAATTGAGCAAACTTGATATTTTGAGCTATTGAGTCATTGTTTTAAATTCCAAACGTGTATTACACTCCTTATACACCTCAGATCTTGTTTATGCACCCCTTGATCTATTTTATTTTAATTATTTTTGATTTATTCATTATTAATTCAAAAATAATTGAAATAAAATACAAGGCTTATTACATAAAGTCCAAGCCCATATATTTTGACCTAATTTCATGCTATATATGTTGCATTATTCAGACATCAAGACCACATAACCATTATCTCAAGAAAGCACTCCAAAGTTCCAAAATTCAGAAAAATTAGGGTAAGTTGTAAACCCTAGTTACAACCTCTTTCCACGCCAGCCAACCATCCCATTCCACTCCAGGGACCTTGTAGGGTAAGAATGGAGCCTTCTTGTTGATTAAAGAGGCCTGAGAGATGCATTCCACGCATCATCGTTTCACATATTTTATGAATTTTTTATTTTTATTTTTATGATGCTTTGACTTGAACTAACATTTGCAACGTGTTTCTGAGCCAAAATGGTGCAGGATTGACCCATTGCATGAAGCCCATGAGGCCTGAATCGTATACCATTATATATTCTTACACTGATTTGCAGTACTTTGTTTATATCTCATTGTGCAGGATTATTCAGCCCAAACTAAGGCCACCAATGGATTCGTAGGACCAAATTTAGGGGGGTAGGGTCCTCCTGGATCTCTAAGGCGTGTTGTTTTGCAGGAACAAAAATCTTCTCACTGGAGAAAACGACTAGAGCTAGGGCTCTGGCTTCTCTCTAGTCTAGGAGTTTTCCATAATATTTATTTCATTCATTTCACATAAGTTAATGGATGTATCAGCGCTCTAATGATTGAAGCGTGCGCGATAAGGACCTATTATTCCAAGGCGTGGGTTCAATCCCAGCCTTTTGGCATTTTAATGTTTTTTTGTGATTTATTTGTCTTGAAGATTACAAAAGGCACTGGATCCTTTCCTTGACACCAAGGCGTGCTTAACTTAGTGGTGAGCATATTGGTAGAAAGTGCTAAGGGCGTGAGTTCAATACCCACCCTTACCAACTTTGAGTTTTTCTCACAAATTCTCCATTCTTCTTACTTATTTCCTCTTAAAAACCTTTTTTTTTACAAAACCTAACATTTTCAAAACCCTTCTTTCCTCACAAACCCTAATTTAATTTTTAGGTTTTATTTCGTTATCTTTTTTTTTTCATTTTAGTTTTTTCTTAGGGTTTGCTAATTAATTATTCTTTTTTTTCTTAATTAAAAATCAATTTAGGGTTTTATAGGATTTAATTAGTCAATTCCTTTTCTTAATCATCATTAATTTTCTTTTTAGATTTATCACAAACATTTCTTTTTTTAAAAAAAAAACAACAACAAAAGAACATTTCCTTTCCCGTTGATTCTAATTTTTCCTTTGATGGTGCGTTTGTGAATTTTTATCATTATGTAACTGCTTACAGTTTGTAATAGATAATTAGGGTTTTACTTTTCCCCCCGCATTTTATTACTTGTACCCCCATTTTCGAAGCCTAGTAATAGCATATGAATCTTTAATTTTTGCCTTTACTTTATGCATTTATCGCTTTCCTTATAATTGTTTAACTAGTAGGATTTTATGGCAAGAATAAAAGCGAACGATAGTGTAATACGGTGGAAGAACTGACTTGGTTTTACGTTTTATCATAAATGTTGCGGATAGCAAGAGTCGCCACCAACTTTTCTTTTATCTGATATAGGAAAGGGTGAAAAGAACAGGAAATACCTTCGAGATTTTTCTGAGTTCGGGGGGTAGGTTATGAAAAGGGAAGGTATTAACATCGTTTTCATCCATAGTTATCTACGGGCTCTTAATCGCTACCTCAATTTTGTAAATGCTTTGTGTATGCGTTTGCAAATATTTTAAAAAAATGCCTAAGTATGACAACTTTGTAATGATTCTTGTATCAATTAAGAATGCGTACAAAGTGTTTATTTTTTGAAAATATTTCATAAGAAGTGTTTGTGAAAAAGTATGTTTTGAAAAGTGTGAGCAAGCTATTACAAGCTATCTACCAACTCAAAGATATTTCATGTTATTTTCCTCCTCTTTTAGATAGTGCTACCCTACCATTAGTTAGTAGGAAGCCATATTGTTGGATGTGAAGGGACATGCGAGGGTCATCGTACAGTCATAAAGGCAACTCGTAGGGGTGCTTTAGCAATTTATTGTAAGGGACTAATATCATTTACTGAAGGTAGTGTAACAGTAAGAATGTTGAGATTAAGCCATTGGATTAACTTGACTCGCACATATCAAAATAAAAATTGCCACCACATTTTATTGTTTCCAAAGGAATGGGAAAAGAGCGAATAACCCAAAAAGAGTTGGAAAAGAATCTAGGTAAGGGGGTTGATTATGCAAAGGGAAAGTATTAACACCCTGGACATCTATGGTACTCCGCAGGAACCTCTTTGAAAATCTGTATATTTTGGCTATAAAATGTTGTATAAAAGTAGATGGTGGAGATAAGGAAAGAAGTATTTTTTTTAAATAATTTTTGCACCCGCCACTGTTGCAAACCTTTGGTGCCTATGTACCACCTTCCATGCAATAGGGGATCAGGGTACACATAGTTCACCTTTAAAAATTAAAACACAAGTTAGTTGGTTAATTTTAACAGGTAAGACA